AAAAACAATTATCTACCTCTTCTTCTGCATTTGCTATTAAAAGGGCAGCTGTGGCACACTGGGTTGTGGTTTACAGCTAGACTGCAATGTCTGCACCTTAACTCTTTGAGGCCCAAGCAAACGCTGCGTATGTTGATTGAGAAGATCTGATTTGCCCAAAACAACACTGTCTGCGTCGATGGTGTGTCCCGTACATATTGATCCGCCTATGGATCCGTATTTGTTTCTAATGTTCGGAACTACCATTAAAATATTCAGGGAAGGTTACTCTAACGTTTTTCTTTGTAAACAGGTCTGTGTCGACACATATGTGGGTGCAAATCAACCCCATTCATTGGTAGCATCATTTTCAGAAAGTCCTTTTATTATTTCATGTTGGACTGGCAGTGGATACTAATGTCCCAACCACAAGCACAGGCCGCAAAATGCACCTTTCCGTGCCTGAAGCTCTGAAATTGTTTCAGTCAGATGTTTTTAATTCTGATGATGAAAAATTAAATTTTTTGGAAAGTGATTCCGACGGCGAATTTACATCAATGGCAGCTGAGCGGTCAGTTGCTCATTCTAAAGAGGTAAACCCAGGAGGACCCATTTCATTTGCATCCAAAGGACTGTTTCAGACAATACCATACTACTGCTAAGCTGTGTTGAAAACACTGCAGCTACAGACTGTATATAACTGTACAAAGTTAATATTTTGTGTGCATACGTCCAATTTTTCGTCATTTTTTCTCTAAAATTTTGCTAAGTGCTTTTTAAGAACCTAGAACCTCTGAATGTCAAACTAACACAGAAACATATCACAACTTTTGAATTTGTTAGGAAAATGAACAAACTCCAAAGGGTTACTCTCAAATTTGGATATTCACTGCTCTTGTGCTGCGAAACTATAGTAAGTAAAGATTTTGTGTGTGTAAAATGTTGAATTCTTTCTTCCTACTAGCTACAACAGTACTGAACAAAAATAAATCAGATTCAAACTGTAGATTCCTTCCTTCGAAAAAAATATACTTTTATAGGTATTAGAAATAGATTACATTCTCAACTGCCTGTTTGTACACCACTCCCTATGCCATTTTTTGAAAAAGGAAATTAATGTGGGCCAAGTCTGTCAAAATTCAGGGGCCTGAAAGAGTTAAGGCCCAACAAATTTGATCTCAGAAATGCTTAATTAACTACCTTTTAAAACATGCTTGTTGAAAGGCAGTGGGTATCCTTTTCTTCCCAAAACAAAGTTCCTGATCTAACAAGAGGACAACCAATCTATTTGTAGAGACTCAAAAATAAATAAAAGTGAAACGACTAGTTGAAAATAAATCTGATTTAAGAAAGCAGAAACTGTTTTTCTGCCCCGTAGAGATAGAATTTCCTATGCCGAAAACAAATCAATACAAGACAGAAAACTGGAAATAGCTGTTACAATAAGTTGGAGGAACAGACTATTTTGTAAGACTGAACCATCTATCTATCATGCAGTATTAGGTCATGCTGCCTGAAGACCGGTACAACCATTTTTAAATGTCACACACACATTCCAACATGAATCAAACACTGCTGCTGCCCATAAACTTATTCTATGTTTGAACTGTCTTTCAAACTTCTTCTCTGTATTTCTTGACCAGGTTAGCCTTATCATAAAAACAAGAATATAATTTTAACACTAAGAAAATAAAGACACATTATTATTGATAGGCAATGGCTACTGCAGAAGCACATAACAAAATAATGGACTTCAAAGAGTAGACTTCTCATTTAAAAAAAAAAAATAAAAAAAAAATTCAGGGGCACAAATTCAGATATTAACTATTTCAAACCAGATGATTCCGCAGTGCTGGCCCTTTGGAATAAATTAGAACTGTGAAAAGTCACCAAAAAGGTTCACAGCAAAAGTAGCCAATAAGAAAGCCAGCTTTCTTTAATGTGCTCTGACCACATCCTGTGAAGCCTGGGATTCACGTGGAACAGTATATTATGCATCACACGCTGCATGGGACTGACAGAGTTAGGGTTTAATCATACTAGCTCAGTGGTCGGCAAACTCTTTAGTTGAACAAGAAAAAAAAAATCAGCAGCAGGACGATTAAAATTTTTGTTAGAAAGCAAAATTTATTTTCAAGAACCCGCCAAGAACCACGTTTTACGGAGTCAAAACCGATTTGTGGCCGACTGGCCGAGCCAAAGTCAGGTCGCTAAAGAGACGCATGTGGCTCGCGAGCCGCGGTTTGCCGACCACTGTGTTAGAACAACATCTGTTAACATAAATCCCGGAATAAAAGCTGATTCAACTTTTAATAAATGTTTGAATACAATAAAAGAAAGATGTTAATAGTAGCTGGTAAGGACACGTACTGCTCTCACCAGAGACAACAACAAGAACTGTTGGCCAAAATACAATAAAACAAACCTGCCACCTAGTGCACAGCACCTGAAGATTGCATCAGAATTTTAATAAGAAGATGTGATAAGTTTTTCTATTCACAAATGGAAATCAACAGAACATTTAACTCAGTCATTCTCAAAGATTTGGTCATTTAATTCCATCCATCTTAAGAGTTCTGGTAAAATGAAATAACAGGCTTAAGTTTAAAAAGGCTAAACAGAGACACCTCAGGGTAGAAGTAGTCAACTGAGATACAAAACAAAGGTTTCATAAAAGAACTGTCTGTAAAAGAAGACAACAAGAAGATCATAATCTAAATCATTGGAATGACCAAGAAACATACCGCAAGTGGCTAGATATTGAAAGAACGCAACCCCATGTAATTGGTGATGAAGATGTATATATGCATGTATGTGTCTGTGTGTGCATATATATGTGTGTATGCATATGTGTGTATGTGTGTGTATATGTGTGTATATGTGTGTGCATGCGTGAAGAGCTCTCTTCTTTTTAGTGTTTTCACTGGCTGTAAAATGTTGTGGAAAGTTCAGGCTATTTATCCACATCTGAACTTTGTGTTTTAAAACTTGAGTGTTACATGCACATCTGTATTACCGATCTGGCTTTTGTGTGTGCAGACTGTTGGTTCCTAAGCTCTCAAGCAGGCACACTCTGAATTTGAAGGAAACACTCTTAATTAATAGATGTTTACAACATGCTTATTGGGGAGGGAGTGAAGGGGAAGGGGGGGTACATTGGAGCTATTCTATCTTCCCCCATATATATTTACATATTTACACATATATATGCGATGTGCTCTGTATTCCTGTTCATGCTGTGACAGTAAAATATGTCTATGCACACTTACATTCCAATAAATGTGTATATTATAAAAAATGTGATTATCTAATATAAATATAAATATGCATTGTATAACTATCAACATAAGAAGTACATGTATGAACAAACACGCACATATATAGGTCAACATGATAATTTGTTAAGGATACAGGCAACAAGGTAGTTGTGGCTCACTTAATAGACTATTAGACTACACAGCTAAAGGAGCTTAAAACTGGTATTCGAGATGCCATTGGAAAAAAAACAAAAAAAAACTAGTAAAGGCGATTTTTAAAAAAAAAGGCATTAAAAAGAAAACAATTCACAAGCAATTCTCTGCGATAAATGACAACAATACAAAATTTACCCAAAAAAGATAAGAAATCGGAATATTAGAAAAAAAAAAAAGAATGATTCTTTTACCTAAAACTATGTTTAAAGGGACAAATATGTGACACAGACAATGTAAAACAAATATCAGGATAAACCACACACACAGAGAAGTATGTGACAAATTTTGTGAACATGGGTAAAAGATTGATAAAAAACGAATTTGCTGCAGCTAGGGCTATGAAGTCTACAAACAAACAGTTACTACTAACAACAAAACTATACAAGTACAGTCAACATCAGTGATTCCCAAATCATGTAGTAGGCCACACAACAGCAGCATGAGAAAGTTACTCCCTCAACAAATAAAAAAATTTTTTTAAAGATAAAAAAAAAAATGATTTATATTTGTCTCCATTTGATATAAGATAGTACAAACAGGGCATTTCGAAAGAATATCAGTATTTTAAGATATGTATTACACAGGCCATTAACAACTGAAAATAGCACTGTGTGTGTTGGCATCTTTCCGTCTTTCCAGACAAAATTAAAACTATTATTTATTTTCATTCACAAAATAGTTGTTATAAAGACATAAGTAAAGGACCCTCTTCCACATCTCCAGGTGTATTAGGCACATAGGGCTGGCTAGAGTGATATTTTATAGACTAACTGCCATTCGGTGGGCGATGTGGTAAACAGCATGTACACTTATTGTTGTTGTTCAAAGTCAGTGTAGGCAGGGGATAAGCCAGAGAATGTCAGGCTGCATGGCTAGTGCAGTCACAACATACTGTGTGTAGATTAGGATTTGTTGCTGTTGTTGCTTAACAAAAAACAAAACCAATTAAATCACGTTACCAAGGATTTGATACCTGGTCTTCCAAATGAGAACCCAGCATTCTAGCTGCAGAGTCCAACATTCCTCTTTGCCCATAAGTAATTGCTTAAATTTCAGCTTCTCATGGAACATGCTTACGGACAATAGCCTTCTAAACTATATCCAGCCTTGACATGCATTCCCATGTGTAGATATTCTCATTCCAGCAGTTAGTTACAGACTGTCTCCTTAGATCCCTGACACAACTACGGAGGGCCTGCACCACCAGATGAATGGAAATTATCTGAGCGAACAACACAGCAGCACTGGATTAACAACAACAACCATCCCTTATATTACTATTTGATAAAAACAATTCAGATAAGCATGAATCTGCAATTACCAAAACTATACATCCTCAAAATACTAATATTCTTTTCATTTTTGAAATGCTCTGTTAATGTATAGAAACCTGCTGAAATTAAAGTTATATTTCATCCATACATAATTTTCATTTTGAGAATGGGGGGTCAGGTAACAACTTGGAAATCCCTGGTTCACAACAGAGATATCATGTAAAAGACTACCATTTCTGAATGCCAACATAGAAAGGTGAAGGACAAAACATACCGTCTGCTTCAGTGCCTGGTACTTTTGTCGAAAACGCTTACGACAATAGTAGGCCCTAAAGCCTCCTCCCATGAGTAGTTGGAGCACTGAGCCGATGTCAAGTAGGGTGTAACGGTAGTTGGAAGGTACATGCTGGTGGCAAATGAACAAATATTATATTTAAAAAAATGTTTACATAATATATTTCTTGTTTACCCACAATAAATTAGTAATCTCCACATTTTAAAACTATTTCTTTTCTAAATTTTCTAAAGGCTTGCCATTATTACCTAGTCATAAAAAAAAAAAAAAAAACAGAGATATTTAAACTTAAATGATGAGAACAACTTTTAGAATACTGTGGATCAGAAACAGAAAACATTTCACAAAATCTAAACATCAAAGAAAACTGACTTGTAAAAGAAACTAATCTTGGAAATTTAAAAACTTCATTGCAACATAAAATACAAACTTTTCTCCAAGCCATGCTGGCGTGCTGGGTAATGAACAGGCAGACAGACTGGCTGGATTTGTACCACTAGGTCGTAAACTGATACATGACAAGGCAGATGTGGTCAAGGCCCTTTGGGAACAAGCAACGGAATCAGTAGAGAAAGAAGATTATTATGGCCTGAAGAGAATGAGGCACCTGGGTGTAACCAGAGGGTCTGGCCGGCTCACTACACTCAAGAGGAAAGGCAAGACAGGATTAACCAGAATATGACCGGTACCTTCAGTATTGGAACTCTGCGCTGGCTGCTGAAGATGATTACGGAGCATGCATGGGAATACCCAGAGTGCTGTGATGTCAATTCTTGACTCATCTCAACTCATACACACTGGGCATGACAATTCAAGAGGCAGAAGAACTATGAAAAATGCTGAGTACGGCAACCGACTGATGTTTTTTAAAAAACTTGCTAGATGACAATGAGGGCCTTAATGAACAGTAGAAAAAAAAATTGTATAGCTCAGATTGTTATTTTTCCTCCTGACAGAAAAATGTCAACCATCTAACCAGAATTTTACTCTTTCAGTAACACACAATGCACCTTGCATTCACATACCATTTCAACGATAATATAACGTTTCAGCTGTCTTCTGTCACATAGTTGTCCTTGGAACGCAAGGAGCTAACTTAACAACTTCTTGGGACTGAAAGATTTAAACTCAGAGTTTTAAATGATAGCTCAGTTTTCTGACCACTTAGTTCTCTAAAAACAGACTCAATGAAGTTCATAAAATTAGGTAAGAACACATCTAAGGAGCATGCGTTACTTCTAAATTTACTATGATTATTATCATACTACATTGTAAACAATTTTTCCATCACTATTCTTCATTTATCTTACTTCGTTAAATCGTTCAAAACACTCTTACCTTCCGGACATCCCGCACAAGGTATCTGAGTGTATTTGATGGTCCTTGTCTCTGCAATATTACAAAAAAAAAAAAAAAACCACACTTAACTTTAACAATTACATATCAGTTTCAAGATATATAAATAAAAAACACACACACGAACGTACATGTGTGCACACAGACACACATTCAGTCTATATCTCCGATGACCTCAAATGCCATGACTGCATTCACTGTCAAGGTCACCCATCCATGTTAGACGGATGACAGTGAGGCTAAAAGAAATACAAACCTGCTGCCTTTGAGACAGATGGGAAAAGCTAAAGGTTAATGAAGACAGATCTCATAAATATGAGATGAAATGAAAAGCAATCAGTAAGAAATACTGACGACCTTAAATAACAGCAGCAATATTTATTTAGGAACCGCTTCTTTAGTCTCGTTTGTTTGCATTCACTAGCTGTGAACTCTGGCAGAAAATCCTGGCTGTTTGCCCATTTGGAATTTAGCTTTGTGCCAGGACCTGAGTTTTGCATGTGCATCCATATTACTGGCTTATCTGTTTACAGCATATTGTTCCTTGTCTCTCTGATAGATAGCCTCTGACTTCGAAAGAGCCTATCAATCTGAAATTTGCAATCTTTCAAAGAACGTAAATGCACTCGAAAGAACACAACAGGGGGTACTCACTGAGTTGTAGAGATCTTCCAGGCGTGGTATGGTCAGGAAAGTATGCATGCTAACACCATTCTCTAGTAGCAGCTTCACAAAATCAACTCTGTCGTTGATAAGAGCATCCATCATCGCAACTTCCAGAGCTCCTTCCTGTTTACAACCAATCAATCAACAATTCCATAACAAACAAACAAAAACAAAACTTTAAAAAAAAAAAGCTTACAAAAAGGAACACAAAACTATTTTCCACGTGTTATTTCTCCAATTAGATTTATAATGAGCTCACAAACTACTCATCAAGAGAATGTGCAGTAGAATTAATTACTTCATAATATTTGTATATTTTCTGTTACAAATAAAATTCTTCCATTCCAGATTTGTGACTAGCTAATAAACTACCAAGACTATTGCCTTAACTATTGGGAAGGCAAATAGATAAACACCTATTAAAAGTTACCATAAAAAATGGGATGCAATTTTGTGTTGTTTTAAAGCCCCCCACCCCGGATGTGGTCAGGGGTCCAAATGTAACCTAATAGTTAAGGTTTCTGAGACCTGTTCCTGGGTGATCCTCATTCGAATGGTAGCACTTTGTGTCACCGGGTGTTTATCGCTCAGTGTGATGTCCTGGTGGGACTAAATGTCAATCAACAGGTAAACACCTAGATGACTTGGTCATTTGGATAGGAAAAAAGATAAGAAAACTGACATGATCCCTGATTCTGGTAATCGTGTGATATGGCAAAACATTACAACCTATAATTACTGGCAATGCACTTATTAATATTAAAAACTATCTTAATTTTGAGAAGACAGTGTAGACCTGCTCTAGTATTTGGTGGTTGTGGTTTTCCTAAGCAATTTTTACATTCAGTAGTTTGCCATTGCTTTCTGAATATCTCATGCTCATGTCATTGTTGAAATCAACATGGCCTGCTGCCAGATCACCTGGAGCTGAAGAAAACCCAATGTGTTGGAATTATAAAACTTCATTCCTAACCCCACAGCCACAGAAACCGACCTTTACACATAATGAACAAAATATTACATTTCTGTAAGTGCTATAATGAAACAACCAAGCATACCGGCCATTCCTGTCCATAGACGAAGATGTGACTCCTAGCAATGTCAACTCGATCCCATGTCAGGGCCAAATTGAGCTGGTCAATGGCATTAGCGGTTGTTCCTGGACAGAGAAAAAAACATTCCAGGGATGATGGTACATTCAACACACAACACACATATGCCTAAGCGGTGTTTACTGAATATGTCAAATAATACAAGGATCTCTTTTCATTGGCCACTGAATATGTCAAATAATACAAGGATCTCTTTTCAGTGGCCACTGAATATGTCAAATACTACACTTGTGAACAAAATGACAGTCTATGAAACAAACTCATGACTTTCAGAGCAGGAGGCAAATGGTTTGACCAATTAGCAATGGAGACCCCCTCTGCCAGAATTAATCAGCACTGACTTAACAACTGCTCTCTGTGGCATTTATTTTCCATCCTAACAAAAGAAAAAAGAGATAACTTCAGCAGTCCAGGAGAGGGTATTCTGATTATATTGTAAAGAAAATTTATGTTATTTAACGATCATTTCCCACAGCCCATTGCAAGTCTGTCACTCATTCCTTATTGACAGACAAGTTTTCTAAATGTTTTTTTTTTTCATAATCTCTTCCAATAGCTGTGATAATGGTAGCTTGAATAATAAACTCTACACATTAATGAATGGTTCCCTAAAATGTATGTTACTTAACGATCCTTTCCCATAGCTCACTGCAAGTCTGATACTCTTCAGTTGTTGGCAGACAAGTTTTCTAAATAGTTTTTCTTTCCATTTATCTCTTCCAATAGCTGTGATAATGGTAGCAGCTTGAATAATAAACTCTACACATTAATGAATGGTTCCCTAAAATGTATGTTACTTAACGATCCTTTCCCATAGCTCACTGCAAGTCTGATACTCTTCAGTTGTTGGCAGACAAGTTTTCTAAATAGTTTTTCTTTCCATTTATCTCTTCCAATAGCTGTGATAATGGTAGCAGCTTGAATAATAAACTCTACACATTAATGAATGGTTCCCTAAAATGTATGTTACTTAACGATCCTTTCCCATAGCTCACTGCAAGTCTGATACTCTTCAGTTGTTGGCAGACAAGTTTTCTAAATAGTTTTTCTTTCCATTTATCTCTTCCAATAGCTGTGATAATGGTAGCAGCTTGAATAATAAAACTCTACACATTAATGAATGGTTCCCTAAAATGTATGTTACTTAACGATCCTTTCCCATAGCTCACTGCAAGTCTGATACTCTTCAGTTGTTGGCAGACAAGTTTTCTAAATAGTTTTTCTTTCCATTTATCTCTTCCAATAGCTGTGATAATGGTAGCAGCTTGAATAATAAACTCTACACATTAATGAATGGTTCCCTAAAATGTATGTTACTTAACGATCCTTTCCCATAGCTCACTGCAAGTCTGATACTCTTCAGTTGTTGGCAGACAAGTTTTCTAAATAGTTTTTCTTTCCATTTATCTCTTCCAATAGCTGTGATAATGGTAGCAGCTTGAATAATAAACTCTACACATTAATGAATGGTTCCCTAAAATGTATGTTACTTAACGATCCTTTCCCATAGCTCACTGCAAGTCTGATACTCTTCAGTTGTTGGCAGACAAGTTTTCTAAATAGTTTTTCTTTCCATTTATCTCTTCCAATAGCTGTGATAATGGTAGCAGCTTGAATAATAAACTCTACACATTAATGAATGGTTCCCTAAAATGTATGTTACTTAACGATCCTTTCCCATAGCTCACTGCAAGTCTGATACTCTTCAGTTGTTGGCAGACAAGTTTTCTAAATAGTTTTTCTTTCCATTTATCTCTTCCAATAGCTGTGATAATGGTAGCAGCTTGAATAATAAACTCTACACATTAATGAATGGTTCCCTAAAATGTATGTTACTTAACGATCCTTTCCCATAGCTCACTGCAAGTCTGATACTCTTCAGTTGTTGGCAGACAAGTTTTCTAAATAGTTTTTCTTTCCATTTATCTCTTCCAATAGCTGTGATAATGGTAGCAGCTTGAATAATAAACTCTACACATTAATGAATGGTTCCCTAAAATGTATGTTACTTAACGATCCTTTCCCATAGCTGACTGCAAGTCTGATACTCTTCAGTTGTTGGCAGACAAGTTTTCTAAATAGTTTTTCTTTCCATTTATCTCTTCCAATAGCTGTGATAATGGTAGCAGCTTGAATAATAAACTCTACACATTAATGAATGGTTCCCTAAAATGTATGTTACTTAACGATCCTTTCCCATAGCTCACTGCAAGTCTGATACTCTTTAGTTGTTGGCAGACAAGTTTTCTAAATAGTTTTTCTTTCCATTTATCTCTTCCAATAGCTGTGATAATGGTAGCTTGAATAATAAACTCTACACATTAATGAATGGTTCCCTAAAATGTATGTTACTTAACGATCCTTTCCCATAGCTCACTGCAAGTCTGATACTCTTTAGTTGTTGGCAGACAAGTTTTCTAAATAGTTTTTCTTTCCATTTATCTCTTCCAATAGCTGTGATAATGGTAGCAGCTTGAATAATAAACTCTACACATTAATGAATGGTTCCCTAAAATGTATGTTACTTAACGATCCTTTCCCATAGCTCACTGCAAGTCTGATACTCTTCAGTTGTTGGCAGACAAGTTTTCTAAATAGTTTTTCTTTCCATTTATCTCTTCCAATAGCTGTGATAATGGTAGCAGCTTGAATAATAAACTCTACACATTAATGAATGGTTCCCTAAAATGTATGTTACTTAACGATCCTTTCCCATAGCTCACTGCAAGTCTGATACTCATTAGTTGTTGGCAGACAAGTTTTCTAAATAGTTTTTCTTTCCATTTATCTCTTCCAATAGCTGTGATAATGGTAGCAGCTTGAATAATAAACTCTACACATTAATGAATGGTTCCCTAAAATGTATGTTACTTAACGATCCTTTCCCACAGCTCACTGCAAGTCTGATACTCTTTAGTTGTTGGCAGACAAGTTTTCTAAATAGTTTTTCTGTCCATTTATCTCTTCCAATAGCTGTGATAATGGTAGCAGCTTGAATAATAAACTCTACACATTAATGGTTTATGTAATTACTCTTCTGATTCAGGCCAGCGGATAATTTACATAAATTATGCCCCCTAACTGGGTTAATCCTAATCTGCACAGGAGTGCAGGTTACACCGTAACTGTTATGGGTGCCTTAATTATAACTTTCTTGGAGGCCGAACAGGGTATCTGGGATCTACCTTGCTGGTCTGCCATCCAGATTTATATTTTCAAATCTCAGGATAGTATGGTAAACCTTTAGATAGCAGCCCAGAGGGGACAAACCAAAGGATCAATCAACAAATGAATTGATCAATAATAATGGTTTATATCAATGAATATGTCCAGCAACTGATCAAACCTGGTTGTAATGAATGATGTCCAACAACTAGGCTCAATGGGTAATTAGGTCAACACAAAACTCCAGATGGCTTTAATTCCAGGGACATTACCTAGTACCTATTTTGGGCTGGATCGACCTGGGAGCCAACGTTATTTTAAATAGGCCTTTTTTTAGTCCTGTAGGACTACATAGTTGTGCCACTGGGCCTGCGCCTGGCAGCACCACTGCTAACTAGACTGTCTGGTGCTAGTCTGACAATCTCTGTCATAATGTATGCCTCCTTAAGATGAGGCAGGTCAGGCAGGAAATGACTGCATTTTAAACTTGTGCCTCTTGTTGCCAATTTGTCCGATCAGACTGCATTCAAAAAGCACACCTCTTCTTCAGAAATATATGTCTGCTGTAACTTTCTCCCTGTGATTATAACATGTTAAATATACTGACCTTTCAGCAAAGCAGTCAGAATGGCCAGATCAATGTCCTTAGATTCCTCTCTGTCACCCATGCGAAACACTGTAATCTGAATAGAAATCGAACACAGCAATATTTAACATCAGATATAAGTTATCATACAGGTCTCCCATATTATGGAACCTGAGTCTTGAATCTCCTCAAAGATAAGACTGCCAAGACTTTGTTGTACAGAAAGAGAAAATCCGGCATGAAAGAGCAATCATTCAAGAGAATGGAAGTCACCGTGGTGTAGCGGCTAGACGCTCACGTGCTGATCGGTAGGTTGTGGGTTTGCTCCCTGGCAGAGCCCGACTTTTTTCAACAATAACTTCAACTCCCACGTCGACCCAGCCTTAAGTGGGTACCGGGTGCAGTCCAGGAAAGTAAAGGCGGCCGGCGTGATGTTGACCACATCAGCCATCTTGTGCCGATTGGTCTATAAAAATATAGCTCTATATGCCCTATACGTCGGAAGGCGTTGAAAAGGGACCTTTCCTTTTACTCATTCAAGATGATGGCCCTGGATGAGCTCCCAAGTTGTGCACACTTCAGATAGTGAACTACTTCTAAGTATACTCAGAACAACTGTATTGCTTGTCTAGAAAGGACAAACAAAGTCATTAACAGTTTCAATTCCATGATTTAGTAAAAGAGTGAACAGCTAGAATTGTCAAGGTTCTTAGCAACAGCTTCAAACAGCTCACAAGCTTCAGAAGTAGACATGCCATTGAAAATGGACTAAAACTGTATTTTCAAAGGGTCAAAATCTGGGATACACTAAAGGCAATAATTTGACAGCTTGATGAACTTTTCCAGTAACGTTTGGTAGAGTAGGGAACTAATGCAAGAACTGGTTGAAATGACTGCAGACAGGGACAATTCTGATGTTTATTTAGCCAGTAAGTAATAGGGGCAATCAGAATCAACCTCCGCTGGGAGAGAGTAAACACTCATAGGCTTGTCCTGAGTGCAGTGACATTAGAATCTCTTCTTAATATTAAGTAACAGATAAATATAAAATAACACCAAAATAGCATTAAAAATTTACTGAGAATGAAAACAAAATAAATAAACTTATACAAATTACGAAGCGCCAGATAATTGATGAACATTTACAATTTGGCTGTAGAGAATAACTGTATTCACTGCTGTCACTGAGAATATTAGATAGTGAGGCCCTCATTTCTTCCATGTGACTCTCATACCACTGCTCAAAAGCCATAAAGCTGTCTGTTTCTACAAATATTTGCCTTAAAAACTGAATCATAGCAGGTCAAAGACTGAAACATGTTCCCTAATATTTTAGCCATAGAGCATCAGGCTAAGAAGAAGTACCATTTAACAATTTGTTAAAGTTTAAAATTGTTGGCTGTCTTATACATAAAAAGTGTTTAAAATTTTTATTTAAAATATTGTGGGCTAAAAAAAGGGGTCATTTTATACATGGGGGCATCTTATATAAGGGGGCTTCTCATACACACAAATAAAAATAGGGTATTTGGCCCAAATGTAGCTTATAATACTATAGCCTGAAGTTGTTGTACACATCACAGACATGGGCCACCTTACCAGTTCTTTCTTCTTCACACACAGCATGAGTTCAATGAAGAGCTTCTCCGCTTGCTCCTGGGTGTACAAGAATGTTCTCTGTATGGTGAGAATTAGCTGGTCCCTCAAAGATTCTGCCATGGTTCTGCAAAATGTCACAAACCAATAACTTAAATTCTCCCTTTTCTCGCTATCTAATTTAATTAGCTAACATCTGTATGTCTAACTCCACCTCCCTTCCATCAGTTTATTTGTATCTTTTAATATGAACATGCTGGTACGTAGAGATAGTTTCCAACCTCTAGCATAAACTAGAGGCCCTGTGCATGTGATGCATGGGCAGTAAGCAGACAGGCTGAAAAACATTTACTCCCAGCAGTGATGTGGTTTTTGAGAACAATGCAAAGAATATTACTAACAGACAGAAAAACAAGATAGGAAAGAAAATGAGGCCGTCTTCCTCAAAATAAAAGAGAGCTGGAAAATTGTTTAGAAAAAATCAGAATTAAGATGGTCTCTGTTTTTCGTACATGCCACCAGAAGGAATGGAAGAAAAAAGAATAGTCTGATTGGTTCTATTTTTCATCTGGTCTGACATACTTTCTTGCAAACAGCTGGCAAGACTGATGGAAAGAGAGTAAAGGGAAGACAAAAAAAAGGTATTTACTGGATGGTTTAGCTATGTGGACAGGGTGAGACAAGAACAATGACCTGGTATGTGATTCTGGTGATCATGTGAGAAGATAAAACATGACAGTCTATGTCTATCGGCATGGTATACAATGATGAGTGAAAGCTATGCTTATGTGCATTTATATTGTGTGAGTGTGTGTAGAAAAAAAAGAAACAGAGAGAGAGAGAGAGAGAGAGAGAGAGTGAGAAAGAGAGAGATACTGTGAGAGAGAAAAGTGTGTGTGTATGTGTGTAGTTTTCTATGCAAGGTGCAAATAATATCCACTTATGGATCACAATTGTTTTGGAGCACTTGAATGATGTAGAGATATATAGTATACACATACATCATCAATCTGCAAGTCCTTTACAGAACGTTCTCTCTTTATGGCACGCCTGAAAGTATCCCTTTCCCTAGCCAGCTCTCCGGCCCCATGTGCTTTCAATGCCAATACATCCTCAATGTCTTGTATCCATATTTGCGGTGGTCGACCCTTGCCTCGCCTTCCACAATCTGTACCTTCCATCACCCTCTTTTCCAAGCCACCATGACGTTTGATGTGGCCAAAATACGTCAACTTTCGGGACAGGATGCTGTTTATGAGCCAGTTCTCCTTGATGTTCAACTCGTTCAGAACGTTGATGTTTTTCCTCTTCCTGATCCATGGTATTCTAAGAATTTCTCTATAACATTTCAATTCAAAAACTCCAAACTTTTTCCTCAATGACTGAGTTAGAGACCAAGACTCACAACCGTAAGTTGTCACAGGGAAAATGCGTGCTCTCAAAATGTTAACTTTTATCAATTTACTAGTGCTTTGCCATAGGTTCTTCAATATACAAATTAGACTCACTGAAATCAACAGTTGCATGCCATCACTTATATTAGTTACAAACTAACTGTTAAAGCAGATTTAAACAGAATGTGGAATTTTACAAATGAAATAAAGGTAAAGTTTGTATGTAAGATTATGCATTAACATAAAATATAGCAACTACTTTCCTGTCATGATTATAATGCTACTTCAGTATGTCTGAATGTAAGATCAACTGCTGGCTTACTTTTCAACATTTTTAAAATTAAGTTAATTATTTCATTCTTTCTGACACCCTAATGTAATTAATTACATTAACATCTGCACTTCAAACCTTCACACCACCTCTCTCTCTCTCTTTTTCTCTTTCTATGCAGCAGATGTGTATTTCTCCTAGCATAACCCTTTGATCCTTCCTGCATGGTAGGCTAGTAGCTGCAATACATGCAGTCATGACTTTTAAGGTTATGGAAACAAACAAATTCCCCACCCACTGTTTGATTTTGATGTAAATAATTTATAGATATTTCAAATTAATTTTTTTTAAAGGCTTGTTAAATATACCCTACCATATTTTTTCCAAGCTGAAAATAAAAGTGGCTGACTGAACACTTCTTCTTTTGTCATCTCACTGATACGTTATAGCCTTTTTTTTTTGTTTAGCCCAGTTTTGAGGTTTTCCTTTAACTTGCACTTCTCAGGTGGCTTAGGTAATGGGTTTTTCATCTATTTGTAGGTTTTAGCTACACTTTTGTTCTGTCTCATTTTTGGTATTCCCCTCTCATGTCTCCCAAATGTTCAACTGTTAAAAAAACCAAAAACTAACTCATTTGTAGTTTGGTATGACTGCATTCTCACTAGATGACCAAGTCATTTCATTGTTTGTCAATATAATTCAGACACGGTCTTATTCCAACTAATGCTGGTATTCGTAACCTTTCTTGTGTTTAACGGAGACAGCGCATTTCACAGGCAGTTAATTTCTGTTCCAGTATCCTATTTATTTATAGTGCTGTATTAATCTTATATGCGATGTTTTTGAAAAATTCTTGTCATGTCATACAGAGACCACATTACAAACAAAGAGGTTCGCCAAAAAAATTATACAGCATATTGGCAACTATGAACCTCTTTTAACTACAGTGAAAAGGTGAAAAATGCAATGGTTTGGACATGCAATAAGATCTAACAGTCTCTCAAAAACAATACTGCAGGGCTCAGTAGAGGGAAAGAGAAGAAGAGGCAGACCAAGAAAGACCTGGTTACAGAACCTGACTGACTGGACAGGCCTCAGGCATGCAACCATGAAGTCCATCGCAACTGACCACCAAAGGTGAAGAGAGCTGATCAGACAGTCAACAGAAACTGATGACCCAACGACATGTGTAGTTACGGGATGATGATGATGATTATTCTTATACGAACACCATTCATAAAAAATTCATTTGACACCAAGCAAATCATTCCACCATTCATGACTGATATAAAACGAGTGAAGAAAATTTGCTAATTACTTGATCATGGCCATTTTTCATTTCAAAGTAAGGACAAGTTGATCAGCACAGAATGAGTTTCAAAAAATTGTCAGCTGGCTGTAATCAATTACCACATAAAGAAGTTCTCAGAACAGATTGAGTTCAGGCTGTTTTTCAGTGTCTGATCAGTGTCAGGGTTCAATGACAGATGTGTTTCTTGGCAAAGAATGAATTAAAATGTTCATTCTCCCCCCCCCCCCCCCCCCCCCCCCCCCCCCCCCCCCCCCAGTGTTTTTTGTTGTTGGCCTAAAGGGTTGTTTATGGCCCTGATTCCCTCCAGCAAACGGCAAAAACTGAAGCCAGCAGCATGTTTATTTTCAGATAAAACTCCTCTCCATGTGGGTTTTGGGGCCCTATTGTAGGAATAAAACAGTCCCACTGTTCCCATACAGGCAAGTCGTAACAGTAAACTAATTAATGATATTTCCTTCAAAGTCAGAGTGCATCTGTATGGGAGGCAAGGAACCAACAGTCTGCATACACATAAGCTAGGTCTGCAAAGCAAAACTCAGGCTCTGGAGCAAGACTCAAGTTATGATACAATCAAAAAGATATGTGCATAACAGATATAGGATACAATCCAACAGATAAGTGTATAGCAGATATTGGATACAATCAACAAATATGTGAGTAGCAGATATTGGATACAATCCCACATATATGTGTATAGCAAATATAGGATACAATCAACAGATATGTGTATAGCAGAAATATGAGCAGCAGAAGAAGAAGCAGAAAACCTATGGATGATATGTAACACTCACAAAGACATCACCTCTATCAAAACACTAACCCATCATCCATGGTGTACTTGTGAGCAAAAGCCAGTAAATCTGCTGCTCTCCCGCTCCCATCACACACAACCACTGGCACAGGGGGCGTATCTGTCACATACTCCAGAACTGACCGGATAGTGTTGGCGCCACCCTCTAGCACCACACAGATCACCGGCACCCCATGGCCCCGGAAGTCATTAGCTGTGCAAGGGGAATACAAATATAAATTTTAGCAGGGATGTCTAGCATAAGATACTGATAAAACACAACAGAACAAGTGTCTCCGCAGATAAGTGTTTAAGCTGTTAGACTCATGCTCTGAAGGTAGTGGGTTCATTTCACAGAGTGCATCGTTTGGTTCACATGTGAAATGTTTGTGAAGAATCTTGGAGATGCTGCTAGAGCTGTGCTTTGTGCCATGCTCTCTGCAGGGGGCTAGCCGTACTGCAGACAGAGACTAAACCATCCAAGATAAACACCCATGCAATGAACTATCCTCTCAGCCTTAACAGAACAAAACAGAATAAGTAACAAATATTCAATAAATCAGTACTCCAGTATTTCTAAAAGCAACCTCTGCTAATTCTATACTGACAAGTGGTTGAAGTACCGGTTGCAGTCCAACATGAAATAACCTGGTTCAAATCACCAATCAAGATCCAAAACTTACTCCTAAACTGTCAAAAAAAGCAGTTTCTGAGTGATCCAGAAAGAGTTAACAAGGAGCAATAGTAGCGCAGAGGCAATGCTTTGCCTGTCAGCTTAAAGGTCTTGAGTTCAAATCCACAGTGGGCAGATTTTAAATAAAAAAGCTGACCTCGGCTTACAGGTCCACCCAGCTTCAAATGGAAAGGACACTTGTCCATGCCTTTAGGTGTACCAGCTGGCACTCCATCAGTGATGTGGTCAACATCATGACGACCACCTTTACTTCCCAGGTCTTTACCTGATACTCATTTAAAGCTAGGTCGACCTGGAAGCTAGGGCCATTTTTGAAAACATCCGGTTCTGTCGGGCAACTTGAAACAGATAACAGAAAATGTCCCGGGAAATAAAGTGACCGGCAGGATGTTGATTACATCACCCATCCAGTGCCAACTAGTCAAACAAAAATATGAGACTGACATGTCCTAGGCGTGAAAAGAAAGTCCTTCCTTTACTAAGAGTTAATGAAATTCTAAAACAAACAAAAGTTTAACATACCTATGCATATTTTCTGTTGGGCGATATATTTCTCAAATTTTTTACGGAACAATATTTCGCCTCCATACTTTCCCACTGTGCCATTGTCAGCCAGGAGGAAGTATGAGTGGTCACTGTTGAGAACTGAAGTGTTGGTTTTGGTGGATGAAACACAATGGTATGGAACTACAATCTGAAAACAAACAGCAATTTAAATAATCATAAACAAATAAATACAATATATAATTTTGTCAGAATAGTTTCCCTTGTTATAATTTGAATAGAGAAGACATAAACAATAGACTGCACAAGTTACTGCCTTGTATATTTTGTATATTTCACCAATACACGAGTCACTGGCTACAGGTCTGCTCGCGATCGAGCGATGCAGGCTGATCGGGAAGAACAAGGCCTGGTGTCTCCAATTCATGTTGATTCCAAAGCTCCTCTGGCCGCTGTTAGTCTATGAAGTGACAAAGACTGCAGTGGAGACGATGGAGAAAAAAATCAACACATCCATAAGGAAGTGGATTGGTGCACCGCCTTGTCTGACTGACGTGGCTCTGTATTGTAAGCAGGCTAAGCTGGTACTCCCATTCAAATCGATAACCGAAGAGTTTAAAGTCGGCAAAGTAAGACTCGCCATGCTCTTGCGCGAGTCTTCAGACCCAAATGTCATCGCTGTCCAGACCGCTCTAAAGACTGGTCTGAAATGGAAGGTCCTAGATGCGATCGAATCTGCCCAGAATGCACTAAAATTGAGGGAAATTATGGGCTACACTCAAACTGACCGTCGAGGCCTAGGTCATAGGAAAGTCAGTTGGTGGTCCAAAGCCCCAGCCAAAGAGCGCCGAGACATGGTGATACAGCAAATAAGGGACAACGAAAATGAGGTTAGGGTTCAGAAAGCAGCCCAACAGTCGCAGCAGGGCCATTGGATCAGCCTGGAGAGCGCCTTGCCAAGAGTACTCACATGAATGACCCAGCAGCGACTGAGCTTTATCGTTCGTTCTGCGTACAATGTATTACCGTCCGGTGTCAACATGGTCAAGTGGAGTGTGATTATTGACCCGTCATGCCCGCTATGCAGAGCTAAGCAGACGCTCAAGCATGTTCTGTCTGCGTGCAGAAAAGCCCTAGGTCAAGGCAGATACACTTGTCGCCACAACAAGGTGCTAAAAGAGTTAGCAGGCGTTGTGGACCAAGCTAGGATGAGGGCCAACGCGAGGGCCAGTCCTACCATCGTCCCCATATGCTTCCTTAAGGCTGGGCAGATTCACAAAGGTAGACTCAACAAAGTCGCATACGCTCCATCTATACTAGACTCTGCGAGGGACTGGTTACTGGCGGTTGACCTGCCTGGCCATGAAAGGTACCCTGAGTTAATCCAGAAGACCGGCCTGCGACCTGACATGGTTCTCTACTCTGCGGAGAAACGTCAGCTCATCCCGATTGAGCTGACCGTGCCGTATAAGTCGCGAATGGATGAAAGCCATATGTATAAGCTCGAGAAATACAGTGACTTAGCAGCTGGTCTGTGGAGGGCTTTATGACGGCAATGCGTACCTTTTGCAAAATCACCAATTCTAACAATTTAATGTTGAATGTTTGATTAAGAATTGACATTACTGCACTTGGGGCACTCCCGAAAACGCTCTGTCCTCATTTTCAACAGCAAGTACAGAGTTCCAATTCCAGTGGTACCAGTAACAGTTTGATTTTACATCCATCTCACTTTTCCCTAAGTGCTGATTGTCAACCAGACACTCTGCGCAGCACCATTCTCCTCAGACCGTGATGATCTATCTGTGCCCTCGCACAGTTCACTCGCTCCCAAAGGGCCCTTACAACATTATAACAATTTAATATAATAAAGTAAATAAATGAACCTTCCTGTGCTAAACTTGCTTCTTCCCTCGTAAAAGAGGCTGCCACTTTGAAGTGTTATTGATTTGGCTGATTTGGTGAAATAAGACAGGCAATACACAGTGCAATCTATTGTTTGTTTCTTTTGTGTTCAAATATAATCATGGATATGTAATGGGTTGGTTACAATTACCCTATGATACAATTAAACAACTCAATGACACCAATCAACAAATAAAATCAAGTCAGATGAACTAATCAGCCAATGAAATCAAATTAGTGAAAACTAGAAAAGGCTAACCCAGGCAAAAAATAAATTTCAACCAATCAAATCAATATTAAACCAAGAACAAATATCATTGTGGCACTTAACTAGGCAGTTGCCATACACTAAATAGACTAAAATATTGGGGTGACTGCAGTTGAGCTGATATCAAGTCATTATTTCACTGCACACAAACAAGACTACGAAGCTCAATGAAGAGGAAAAGGTTGCATTAAAAAAAAAACATGTACAGAGACAACCAAAAGTGTCAAGGCAAATCTTAATGATCCGAGATTTACACCACTTTGCTGCCCCAAAGGACAGATGAGGTTAGTTGCGTATCCTTTACAGGACGTTGCAGAACCAACCCCAACAGCCCCTGGCTGTTGTGTGGTTTCTCTAGGCAAATTTACGTCCATTAGTTTGCCATTGCTTTCTGGACGGTCGGACCCCTGATACCACTGTTAAAACCAAAGCAAGGCACATGGCCCGCAGCTGGGATTGAATCTGGCACCCCGGCATTACAAAGTGTTCGCATCGACTTAGCCACAGAGCCGACAAAGGGACAGATACATATTCTTAAACTGCTGACTTTGTTTGGTGTTACAGTGCCATAGGTTCTCTAAAGTATCTAATTCTGGAATAAATATGTGTTTTATGGTTGGCTGGAACCTTTCCAGACAATCGTGTTAAACTGCGTTTGATAGATCATTTCTAATACAAGAGAAAAACAAGAACTCAGTATCTCAAGTCTTGAATACTATAATACAGAAGAATCAATCAATCAGTCAGCATGTCCTTTACAGAACATTGCTCTCTTCACAACATGTCTAGGTCTTTATTTCTCCAGACAATTCTCCAGCCCTGTGTGCCCGTGTGCTTTCACAGCCAATTCTCCAGCCCTGTGTGCTTTCCCAGCCAACTCTCCAGCCCTGTGTGCCTGTGTGCTTTCACAGCCAATTCTCCAGTCCTGTGTGCCTGTGTGCTTTCACAGCCAATTATTCAGCCCTGTGTGCTTTCACAGCCAATTCTCCAGCCCTGTGTGCCTGTGTGCTTTCACAGCCAATTCTCCAGCCTTGTGTGCTTTCACAGCCAATTCTCCAGCCCTGTGTGCTTTCCCAGCCAATTTTCCAGCCCTGTGTGCTTTCCCAGCCAATTTTCCAGCCCTGTATGCCTGTGTACTTTCACAGCCAATTCTCCAGCCCTATGTGCCTGCGTGCTTTCCCAGCCAATTCTCCAGCACTGTGTGCCTGGGTGCTTTCCCAGCCAACTCTCCAGCCCTGTGTGCTTTCACAGCCAATTCTCCAGCCCTGTGTGCCTGTGTGCTTTCACAGCCAACTCTCCAGCCCTGTGTGCTTTCACAACCAATTCTCCAGCCCTGTGTGCTTTCACAGCCAATGCATCTTCAATGTCCTGTGCCCACGTCTGCTGATGCCAGCTCTGCCTTGTTTTTGTGGAAACTGACCCTCCATCAATGTTCTCTCTAGATGACAATGGTATTTAACATGGTAAAGTACCTCAGCTTTTAGGACAGGATGCTGTTTATGAGCCAATGATCCTTGATATTCAGGTCAAACAGGATGTCAACATTTTTCTTCTTCTTGGTTCACAGTATTTTAAGAATTTGTCTGTAGCATTTCAGTTGAAAAGCTGCGAACAAACAACCAAACAGGCTTGAGAGGAAGAGAATGCAGCAAACGGAAAATATATATACTTACATCTCTCCCTAGAAGATCCTCTTTGTTCTCAACGATGCCCCAGGGTGCTATACCTATTGCGACTACTTTATTACGAGCTTTGGTTGTACGGTCACTGATGGCATCCCCAACATGTCTGGTCACTCCTGGCAAATGAAAGAGAGTAGTAAAGACATTATGAGAAAGAGAAAGAGTAAGAGATACAGACACGAGGGAGCAGCCATGGTGTAGCGACTAGATGCTCGCCTGTGGATCCCAAGATAGTGAGTTCAAATCGAAATAAAGCAGATGACCTTAACTCCCAGGTCAATCCAGCCTTAAATGGGTACCAGGTAAAGTCCTAGGAAGTAAAGGGGCCGGAATTGTGTTGACCAGTCACCCATCGAGTGCCCATTGGTATAAACATGTAGGTCTAGCACTGCATACCCCTGCAGGTATGATAATGTGGTTAGTACCACTTCAGCTGTCTGAGTGACAATCATGTTTATGTAAGTAAGAAAATGAACATGTTCATGCTACTGAAGCAACAGGGTTGGGGTGCAAGAGTCATAATCTGATGAGACAATTTGCACTAAGACAATTTGCACTCAATAGAGAAAATGATATCATGCTGACTGCACATACAAATATGTATAGCAGCATTGCCCTTATGTGTCAATGATGTGAAAAGTGATCTTAATTACTCTTTTAAGCCTCAGAACGTTCAGCCAGACAATTCCAAGGTAACAGTAGACTCAAAGAACATAAACAACATGTGAGAGCATAACTATCACAGATGCAACACAATAATTAACACTGCGAACTAGAGTAACTAGTCATGCTTTTAATGTATTATTAGTTTAATAATTCAGGGTCTGGTACTCATGGGCAACATCTGATCACACATGGTGCAGTGGTTAGGACTGAAGGAGTTAGAAACAACATGTTTATAAGCTAAGACACTGAGCTAGTGAAGTTAACATTCTTGCATAGACATAACTTCTTCTTTTTCTTCGGTTAAAGGGAGTTCTCAATGAGTGGGGACATCCAAGACATGAGCAGTGTCTTATTTCCTGCAGAACAGAGCTGGGTCAGAGATTGAGTACTGGGCAGCTGGGTTGATCAACCTTTACATCATATATATATATATATATTTTTTTTTTTTCAAGTATCCAGAAGCCATGAGTTGTTAACCCTTAGGCTCGGTATTATGGATATCGCAACCCTTCGGCCTTGATTCCATGATAAATACTATAAAATCTGGAAGAAATGTGGCTTCTCTGCCTACTCCCGGGCGTGAACCCGGACGACAAGGAGTTCGTCACCCGGTCACCATGCAGTCCGGATTAGTCAACTATGCTAGAGAGCCGGGCATATATATATATATATATATATATATATATATATATATATATATATATATATATATATATATATATATATATATATATATATATATATATATATATGTATGTATGTATGTATGTATGTATGTATGTATGTATGTATGCCTAATAATAAGACATGAAAAGGCTGTGTTAAACATATGAGAAATCATGGTCTTCAACTTTGTGCAGGTTTCAATTTCAGTTTCCTGATTGTTCCCGCGGGTATTAGCATGGAAGCATTCCGGTCTGCAAAGTTTAACAAAATAGATTTGGTGGCATGTTATGCTGTGGTTGACTAGGCTGTGATATTTGCACCTTTTGGTCCAACATATCAGATTTTAGCGAATCCTTACTCTCAGAATTTTATAATATGGGTAATCAGAAGCAGTAAGTTTATACCACCCACAAAGTAGCTCCGGTACTGACACGAGCAGTCTAAATTATAAAGTAAAGGACCCTTTTCCACATCTTCAGGTCATTTAGGGCTAGATCTATATTTCCTTTAGACCAATCAGTGGGCGATGTGGTCAACATGATGTTGGCCATCTTTACTTTCCAGGATTGTACCTGGAACCCATTTAAGGCTGGGTCGACTTGGGAGCTTAGTCTCTTTTGAAAAAAAGTCTGGCTCCATCAGGGTTTGAACCCACCACCCTCAGATCCGCAGGCGGGTGTTTAGTGGCTACACAAAAGAAGAACAGATATGACTAAAACATCAGTTAACGAAGTGGAAGACCTACCAGTGTTGGTGCCATTGGTGACAATCCAGGCACCTGTTGTTCTTGCTGCTTTCAGTAAACCTTTTCTAAATACTCGCTTCAGTTTTGGCTGGAGGTCAAAGTTCAGCAGCCCCCCATGAACCGTGATTAGCAGCTTGGGCAGGTCAAGACCCCAGTGCTGTGTGGACCCAAAAAGAAAAAACCACAGCAATTACTTAAGTAATCAAAAGCATATAATGGCAGCAGAATTTTGGTTTCTGAAAAAAATTAACAACAAACAAGATTTCAATACCAACTGTGGAGATAAAAGCACAAGGAAATCTTTAAACACACACACAATTAAGCAGAAGCAATATAAAGAGTTTCCCATGTGAGTTCTGAGGCCCCATTAGAGGGAAACAAAAATAGACCCAATGTCTCCCTAAGAAGCAGGTCGAATCACAATAGTAGTAGTAGTAGTACATTTTACCCCACCAGGACATCACACAAGCGATAAACACCCAATGACACAAAGTGCCATTATATGAATGAGGATCACCCGTGGAGAGGTCCTATATTGCGGCCCCTGGCAAGAGACAGGGTGTGGCTTCAAAATAACGAAAAATGGCATTCCACAAGGAGA